GATGGTCCAGGGCGGGCCAGGGAGCAGAGAGGAGAATGGCGAGTCATTCCTGCGCTGAGACACTCAAAATGCAGCAACGTTTCTCAAGCAGCATGGATGGGTTTTCCACACCCCTTCTTCTCACTCTAGGTTGTGTCACAGCTTTAAAAAATGGGGGAAACCCTCTAAGAGGAGGAGAGGGGATGCTCTTCTCACAGAGAGCTAAGTGTGCTCAGGCAGCAGAGGTTCAGACAACTGCAGGTGGGACAGGCAGCATGTCACAGGCAGGAGATAACAGCCTGCACCTTACACAGGGGTTAAGAAGCTGTGGGACATCCCACGCAGAAGTCACAGCACAGCACTGAAGCCAACTCACAGAGAATGAGAGAACCCTGAGAACCACAGGGATGGGCTCAACAGTCTTCAGGGAGGAGGGAAGGAGCTTCCCTGGGGTCCAAGGAGCCTGTGCAGTGCTTGCTTCAACTTGGGAAGTCACTGGGTAACTGTGATGCAGTGAGAAGACTTGGTGCCCATAAGCTTCCTCACCTCCTGCACCTGCTGCCTGGCTGTGAACATGCAGAAGAGGGGCATGCTGGACCACCACATCATCTTCAAAAGCTCAGCTTCAAGTCCTGACTCATGTGCCCCAGCTGCGTCCCGGCCACGCAACATATCCCATCATCTGTTGCAGAACGAGAAGAGGGTGAACATCCCAGTCACCAGTGCTGCCATCCAGGATGGCCCGAGTCTTGAACACACCTGGACTTGAAAGTGTCCTTAGCCCTCAGGAAGCCATATGGAAGTTAAACCTCATCTGCTGCTGGCAAATCAAAGCTGCGCTTTGGCTTCGCACTGGAGATCTTAGTTGTTACCTTCATAGTGGGATTATGTGATGGGGTGACTAATGGTGTCTACAAGTGGGTAATGGCCCAGAGGCCTCCTCCATTCCTGTGCTCCAACCTTTGCCCACTGGTACTTTACACAGCCTGTTACAGCAACTTGGACAACTGAGCCCATCACCAGCAAGCACCAACAAGTGGAGATGTTCACTTTGGTTGCTCTGGGGTAACAGCCAGGCAGTGAGACAAGGGCAATCTGAGGCAACCCATAAGCAGTGGGTTTGCAAGAAGCACTGCTGCCACAGGAGACACCAAGGAGAGGGACAGGAGATGGGTCTGGGGAGTCTGGGGACTCTGATCATCAGGAAACCAGCTGGGCAGGAGAGCAGGTTTTGTTGTAGCTCTTCTTAGAAGATGTTCAATACACTTAATTGATTTAATACACACGTGTTTCTCCTCTACAGACACTGATCCAGAAGCACAGCTAAATCATTCTTGACAAAGGAGAATGCACCAAACTATTTAATTACATCTTTGAGGGGAATAAAGGCAGAATAAACAGCTCATCTGCTGGACATCACAGACCCTGCAGGTTTGTGCTGAGGGGGACTGTATGTTTCAGGAGGTGAAGCTTTTATTTAAGCTTTGTGTGATTATTAATCTCACTGCACCCTCTGGTAAACTGCTGCTACACTCATGCTGACAGTTGATATATATTTCATTGCCATTTGGCTGGCTTGGACCTCCAAAACTCCTGATTACCTTTGTTAGCCCTAGTGAGGACCTTTACCACCCAAAGCCAGAGGCCAGGCTGGATGGCACAACATCCCCTTTTTGTCTCCAGCCAAACTATGTCACTTGAAAAAAAAAAAAAAAAAGAAAAAGAGATTACACTTTTTAAAAAGTATCCAGAAGCAGCTTTCCTTGACCTGGTGCATGAAGCTACTCTGCCTCTGAGGAGGCTCCATGGGATCAGGAAGCTGCTGTCTCCTGCCCATCAACCCACTGCCCCTGGTCTGTCAATGGGGCTGGGATCTCAAACACACATTAGGAAGCTATGAAGAGGCCAAGAGCCAGCGAGATGCTGCCATCAGTGTGGTTAAGTCATCTCTAACATAAAATATGAGCAGAGCACAGGTGAGGAGCCTCCAGGAACACACCTTCCAGCCAGCTGTAAATCCCTGGCCGGCATTAAGTTGGTGTTGTCCCCACCTTGTAGGATCCTAAAGAGCTCACTGGAGGTGCAGGCTGTGCTCAACAAGGAGTCACTTCACTGTATCTATAAAAAACGTTTGGTGTCAGTGAGATGAAAAGCTGCCCAGCAAGCCCAGCCATGAGTGACAGGCTGCACAGCAGCACTGCGGGGTCAGGCTCAAGCTCAGCACCCACAGGCATGAAAAAAGACCAAAAAACCCTGTTCAGAAGAACAGTCATGCCCATGAATTGATGCAAAATAACACGCCTGCCATTCAAACAGACGTTTGGAAACACAGCGACGGCTCGACAGCGACCATCTCCAGCTCAAGAAAATACGTGCAACACCCTCAACACTTTATGACGTGTGGGACTGGGGTGACCACAGCACTCCCTGTCACTCACCAGCCACAAAAATACCCCCAGCAGCACCCAGGAGCAGCAGAGCTCATCAGCAAAGATGATGCAAGAATCATAATTCCACATTTCATGAAGACCCAGAACTCCACCAGAGCCTGTTTGGCCCCACTAAGCTACTCTTCAGGCTGGTATAAGCCATGGGAATATGCCATGGCACAGGATATCTGCCTGCACTGAACTGGAAACATGATGGGAAGCATCCAAGCTATGCTCAGTTCACAAAGAAGAGAAACAGCTTTGTTGAGGTGCACTGGAGAAGGAGAAGCCAGCCCATCGTGCCGCTCAACATGACCCAAGGGTGGGAGGGACCCAACAGTCCCTCTGGATGTGGTCACTGGAGCTGTGGCACCCTAAACATCAGCAGAAAATGCTGACCACCAGCACTGGGGTCTTTGGGCACAGAAACCTGCCCCAGCTGCACAAGAAGGAGCCAAAAACTCCTCCAGCTTCTCAACCAGCATCAGCCAATGGAGAGAAGGAAATCTGTAGTATCTGTAGGGACATCCAGGAGCCCCAAAACCAAGCAGTGAGGAGGCCTGTTGTCAGCACAACATCCAGGCTGGATTCAGCACTGAGAAACCCCAACCTGTGAAGCAGATTGTAAATCTGTGTATTTGTTTTGGAAATAAAGGCATTAATATTTGATGCCCAACATTTTGAATATTGATGAGTATGTTCACAGAAAAGGTTTTGGAGTTACTTAAGCACCCAGGACTGTGCCACCTAAACTCACTGAACTGGTGGCTGCTGCCAGAGCTATCCAACACCTGTGAACCACCAAAGGGAAGGTGCAGTTGACATGGGAGGGGAAGAAGAACAGAACCCCAGAAGGGGATATTTAACACAGCAAATATTTTGATTTGATCTGTCAAGGAAGCCACTTTACGCCCCTCCTTCCACCTTTTATCTCGCTCATGGAAGTTTCATAAACATGTATCTGTTCTTCCCCTCCAAACATCTTATAACAAACTAACCTTAAGCAGGGGTGCACAGCAGGCTTTGCCACGGCACT